CCCCGCAGGGCCCCAGGCCGCGGCTTTGTTGTGTCCTCCCAGGGGAGGCCCCGGCCCGAGCTGGGTGCCGCCGATGGGGAGCTGAGGGGGCCCCCGCGGCTAAGGTTGGGGGATCCAAAGGCCCCTCCCCTGGTGATCCGTGCCCCCTCCCCGCAGGGCCCCAGGCCGCGGCTTTGTTGTGTCCACCCTCCAGCCTGGAGTCTGGACTTCAGGAGGCCCTCATTCAGGAAGGGGGCCCTCGGCTTGGCTGTCCCACGCCCCGTTATTGTTCTCCTCACACTCAGGTTGTGGGCCCCAGAGTTCTGCAGGGCCAGAGCCCACCTGCTCCAGGCACTCGGGAAAGACCCCAGCTGAAAGATGGGGGTTCTGGGGGCAACTGAAGGCTCCCTGCCCTTCAGGAATTTTGGAGGGGACCAGGCATTGTTCCCACACCTCGCCCTGCCGGGTCTGGTTGAGGAGGTGACCTAGGACCCGGCCCTCTCCCTGCTGTGGGGTGCTGGCTCAGGATGCCTCTCCCCAGAAGAGGCCCGGGAGGCACCCTTGTCCCCCGGGGAGCGCCTCTTGTCATCCCCCACACAGTGCCCAGCCCTGGGGAAGGTGGCTTGCGGCAGCCACCCCCCCACCCCCCCACCCCACGCTCAGGTAACCCTGAGCACCTCCTGCTCCCCAAAGGCCCCAGCTACTGTCCCGTCAGCCCCCTCCCTGCCTCGGACACCGGCTGGAACTCAGCCTCTTTCCTCCAGGAGGGAACAGAAGCATCTGACACCCAACCTCATACCTCAGCCCCGGGAGCAGCAGCTGCGGAGTCCCCCCCGACTCAGGAGAGAGCCCAGCGTTGCCCGGTAACCCAGCAGGGTCCCCCGGCATTACTTATACCCACTCTCAGTCAGGGGTAAAATTCAGGCTCTTCAGGCCAGTTGGCCAAACAGATGCACCCGGGCTTGTCCCCACCCTCCCGCCATGGAGCCCATGGGTCTCCCTGCACCCCCCCACCAGGAGCCCACATATTATCTCCTGACCCTTCCTCTCCAGCTTTGAGAACTGGCGCTGGGGCGCACAGGTGTTCAAGCAGTTATTCCAACCCCTGCACTGTGAGCTCTGGCTTCTGGGCTCTCTTCCCCAGGAAGCAAGCCAGGGGCCTCCGTGCCACTGGACCCCGTTTCCCACAAGAGGAGGAGCCCAGATGGAAAGGGGCAGAACCATGGAGTTGTCCCCTGACTTCCATCCAGGTGTGGGGCTGAGAGCGGAGGGTGTCCCTGTCCCACCATGACCCCACTTCTCCCTGCCCTGGCTGGGGTGGCTCCAAAGTCTCCCTGCGTCCCGAGACAACGAGGGGTCCACGTGTGTTCGGAGTGGGTTCTGGCACGTGGCCGGCCCCTCCCGCCTCCCCGCCAGACACCCTGTGTTCCCCAGGACCTACGTGCACCCGCTCTCTGTCCTCCTCTTGCAGGCACTTCCACGCCCAGGATGCGGCGCTCAGTCCTGGTAAGAAACCCAGGCCACAGAGGCCTGAGGCCCCCCCATGAAGAACTTGACTCCGACTCAGAAGACCTGGACCCCAATCCTGAAGTGGACCCCGTTTCTGAAGAGCTAGAGCCTGAGCCAGAAGACCTCAACACTGTCTCTGAAGACGTGGACCCCAGTGATGAAGACCTGGGCCCTGTTCCCGGGGAGCTGGACCCCGAGGCAGAAGCCCCGAGCTCCGGCCCCGCCACCCAGGACTCCGATCCCCCGGAGCTCGACCCCATGTCGTCGAGTTTCGACCTCGACCCAGACGTCATCGGCCCGGTCCCCCTGGTTCTCGACCCCAACAGTGACCCCCTCAGCCCCGATGCGCCCCCAGACCCAGACCCCCTCTCGTCGGGTCTCACTGCCACCCCCGAGGTCCTGGCGGCCAGTGCGCCGGTGCTTCCCGCCCCCGCCAGCCCGCCGCGGCCCTTCTCCTGCCCCGACTGCGGGCGCGCCTTCCGCCGCAGCTCGGGGCTGAGCCAGCACCGCCGCACCCACAGCGGGGAGAAGCCCTACCGCTGCCCGGACTGCGGCAAGTCCTTCAGCCACGGCGCCACGCTGGCGCAGCACCGCGGCATCCACACGGGCGCGCGGCCCTATCAGTGCGCGGCGTGCGGCAAGGCCTTCGGCTGGCGCTCCACGCTGCTGAAGCACCGCAGCAGCCACAGCGGCGAGAAGCCGCACCACTGCCCGGTGTGCGGCAAGGCCTTCGGGCACGGCTCCCTGCTGGCGCAGCACCTGCGCACGCACGGCGGCCCGCGGCCGCACAAGTGCCCGGTGTGCGCCAAGGGCTTCGGGCAGGGCTCGGCGCTGCTCAAGCACCTGCGCACGCACACCGGCGAGCGGCCCTACCCGTGCCCGCAGTGCGGCAAGGCCTTCGGCCAGAGCTCGGCGCTGCTGCAGCACCAGCGCACGCACACCGCCGAGCGCCCATACCGCTGCCCGCACTGCGGCAAGGCCTTCGGCCAGAGCTCCAACCTGCAGCACCACCTGCGCATCCACACGGGCGAGCGGCCCTACGCCTGCCCCCACTGCTCCAAGGCCTTCGGGCAGAGCTCGGCGCTGCTGCAGCACCTGCACGTGCATTCCGGGGAGCGCCCCTACCGCTGCCAGCTGTGCGGAAAGGCCTTCGGCCAGGCCTCCAGCCTCACCAAGCACAAGCGGGTGCATGAAGGGGCGGCGGCGGCGGCGGCGGCGGCAGCTGCGGCTGCAGCCGGCCTGGGCCTCAGCCCCACGGCGGTGCTGAGACCAGGGCAGGTCTCCCTCCTGGGGCCTGAGGCGGCTGCAGTGCTTGGCTCTGGCCTGGGCCGCAGCCCTGGCTCTAGCTCTGGCCTTGGATCTGATCCCAGCTCTGTTCTGGGTGCCCACCCCAATGTCAGCCTCAACCCGGCCCCTGGCTCTGGGTCTACCCCTGCCCCACAAGCTCTCAAGCCCTCTGATCCTGTGCCCGGTGGTGATGCCAGTCCTGACCTCGAGACCAGCCCTGGCCATGGATCTAGCCCCAGCCCCGATGTGAGTCCCACGCCCAGCCCGGACCCCAACCCCAAATCCTGCCCTGACCCTGGTTCTCCCACCCACAACACTGTCAGACCAGCGCTCCCTACCGGTGAGAGTCCCGAGTGGCTGCAGCAGCAAGGGGCCCTCCTGGGGCCTGATGGCTGAAGGGGGCGCCGGTACCATGGGGGTCCCTGGGGAAGTTGTGTGTCGTGCAGTTAGTAAAATCTTCCCACTGCCTCCTGGCTCTGTGTGGTGGTTCACCTGTTTCTCTTTCTCCCTGAACGCACAGCCTGCGCCACTCACACCTGGAACCCCAGTGTCCTCACTTCGCCCACAGGATGCCCTCCAGGCCTTCCCACAGGTTCACACTGGTCCATCCCAGCAGTCATCACTCCCTGACCCCCCACTCCTAACGGCCTCCCCAGTCCTGACTGGCCAAGTCAATGCCAGCCTTCTCCCGCCCATGGTCTAGGCAGCTTCCTGGCCTTTGATTTTTCCATGAATGGAAAAATTCTGGCATCTTGGTGGAGGAGCTGATATGAGGCCACATGGTCAGCCCGGATCTGTCCCCCTAACTTCCCCTTCAAGCCCACATACCTATCTCATAGACAAAGGAGTTTGCTCACTTATGCATTCAGCAAACTTGTTGGTTGCCATGGTTTAAGCAGGGGTCACAGATACCAACTTCAAAAATATTTTTTAAAAAAGGTTAATTACAGGGTATTTTTAGTACATTCTTGAAGCAGACTGTGAGGCTTTTTAAAAGAGATTTTATTTATTCATACAGAATTGGGGTACAGGCCAGAGGTGCAGGGGCGGTGAGAGGATTCACCAGAGACAGAGTGGGGAGCAGAACAGGACAGACGAAGCTCACTGCCTGCGGAGGGGAGCAGTGGGCGGGTCAGAAGAGATCTGCTGCGGGTCAGCTCCTGGGTGGGGATCAAACTCGTGCGGAAGGGCTTTAGCTTCTTAGTGCTGCACTTTAACCTGCTGTGCCACCAGGGAGGGCCCGCCTATGAGACTTTTGATGTAAATGGCAGGCAGTTTACAAGGGAGGATTTTGTAATCGTAATAGCCACTAATTTTAAATCAGTCCTTCTTGCCCAATCTTGTACTTTGCTCTTGCATTTTCTCATTTAATTCTCTGAACAGTACCACAAGGCAGGTAACAATGATTGAGCCAACTCTTAAAATGTGCAAACCGAGGAGTTCAAGGAATTCTTTGGAAGATGGTGGAGGATGGTGGTTGGCAGCACCCGAATTTAAACCTGAGTTTAAACCTGCAGCTCTCAGCCTCCAGGCTCCAGGGCAAGAATGTAGGAGACCCTGGGGCCCCTGAAAGCTGGTGCCGAGGAGGCCAGCCAGAGCGCGTGGGCAGGCTGCAGAGCGGAGGATGGAGGATGCTGGTCACACCAGCGTGGAGGGATCCCCTGGCCGGCTCTGGCGAAGGCTTGATGGGAATTATGCCGGGAGATGCTTCTGGCTGCCGGTCTGCAAATGGGGCTGTAAGAGCAGGGAAGAGGCTGCTTCAGTGACCCAGGCCAGGAACGTGGGGGACCCTGAGGCCCTGCCTCAGGTCTTTCTCCCGGCGTGGGGACAGGTGCTCCTATTTGGGATATAATAGGAAATGAAACAGGATCTGGTGATAGATGAGAGGCAGGACGGCAGCCTGCCGAGAGTAAGCCTCAAGTCCACAGCGGGACGGACTTGGGCAGTCCGCAGGGCGATGGGTCAACACTGGCCGCTGCGGAGGCTGGGGGGCAGGCACCGGGCGCGGGGAGGGCAGAGAGCAGGAGGCGGCCAG